ACGCCTGTAATCCCAGCACTTTGGGAGGCCGAGACGGGCGGATCACGAGCTCAGGAGATCGAGACCATCCTGGCTAACACGGTGAAACCCCATCTCTACTAAAAATACAAAAAATTAGCCAGGCGTGGTGGCAGGCGCCTGTAGTCCCAGCTACTCGGGAGGCTGAGGCGGGAGAATGGCATGAACCCGGGAGGCGGAGCTTGCAGTGAGCTGAGATCTGGCCACTGCACTCCAGACTGGGCGACAGAGCGAGACTCCGTCTTGAAGAAAAAAAAAAAAAACTGTTTGAGAAAGAAGAGAATTCAATATTGTCTGTGACTCTCAGGAAAATCTCCTACATGAGGCTCAAGACCACCTCACACTGACATGTTATCATTTTTCTGTTTAATGGAAGACAGACTGAGTTAACAGACAATCACTATCTTAACCAAGGAAAAGCAGGGGTAGGGGCCCGTTCCAAAGCACAGATGGCAGAGCTGCAGCACGGGGAAAAGACTGCAAATCCTTTGCTAAAAGTTCCTGTACTGAAATGCCCAACTACTTGTTTATGTTCCTGTTGATATTCAGAAGCTTTCTTTTAGAAGCCCAAATAATACAAAACAAGATCATGATTAAATAATCATGTACCCCCAAATTCTGTATTAAGCGAACATTTCCCTTCCTCCTGCACCTTAGTACAGCCAGCTAATCATGCACAAAGAGATTCATCCCTGAAGCAGAGAACACCCCACAGCCCCAATCCCATAATGCCCAGGGAGCCACATCAGTTTGGGGACCCAGAGTGATCCCCACAATTGAAGAATCACACCTCTGGGCAGAAGGTGTTGAGGATGCAGCCACTCTGTAAAGAATAAAGGGAAAGTAAAGCTCTTTGATGAGCCTCCAATTCTTAGTTCCTGCAATTCACAAGGGTATGCAGATTAACATAGTCATCACAGATTATTGTTATCACATAGAGTGACCATATGTCTCAGTATCCCCAAGACAGTTCATGTTTATGCTTGTCATGCCAGCAGCATTAGTTAACAGCACCCACTTTCACTCATCGCAAGTGTCCTGATGTAGGAAATAAAGTATGTGATTGTCCAAATGCTAAGTAATTTACCTAAAACAATGTGAAAAAACCTACGACACAGCTGCAAAATGAGACCAAATCGACAAAATCTTAGTCAAGTTTTCTCCCTTACTATCACATATATACAGCATTTACACTCATTTCAGAAATGCACAATAAATCTTCCTCAACACAGTAAAACTAATACCAACAATCTAGATTACAGCATGCTGAAACTAAAAAATTTATTTTAAAGTATCTCCATTCTAAGTCAATAACTTGTGTCAATAATTCATACAATCCCCCCCCAACCCCACCCCACTGAGCCTTTTTTGGAAAGAAAATAGGGTTTCCAAACGCAATTTCAAATGATTGTGACTAGTAACAGAGCTAAAATGATAGTCATTTCCGTGCTTCTAGCGCTATCCAAAAGCATAAAATAAAAACGTTCACTACTAGGGGCTCTTCAATTTATAAAAATAGTGCCAGCAAAGCTTAAGATAATGTAAAATTCTGGGAGAATAAATTGTAACGCAAGAGATAAAGTATGCAAAATATGAATCACTCTTCTGAAGGAACTGACAGTGTGTTTACTCAGTTACTATGCTAAGTGACTATGCTACTCCCATTATATTTTCTATTGAGGTAAACAAAATTAAAGTCTAAACGCCTAACATCTAAACGTAAATCCTGACCAGCAGGAAGCAATATGACCCAAACAAATGCAGCAGATTCTGTGCTGTGGTTGAACACTCCAAGTTCCCTAATATTCTTGGTGGTGACTGGGCAGGAGGATGAAAGATGCAGAAATCTAAAAAAGTCAGGCTTATATTCCTTCATTTCCTCATTTAACAAAGGTTTACTGCGCACTTAGTAGGCACTATGTCTCTAGTGATGAACAAAACAGACATGGTCCCAGCCCTCATGGAATTCACATTCTGGTGGGAGAACACAACATTAAACCAAGAACCTTCTATTATGTAGATATACTTTGTACAATTTTAAATTATAAAAAGTTAAGGTAAAGAATAAGATGTCATAAGAAATAATAATAAAATCAGAAGGGTGTAATTTAAACTGAGGTTGGGAACATTCCCTGAAGAAGTAACATTTAAGCTGAGTAGTCATGACTGGAGTGAAGAGTATAAGAAAATATTGATTACTCAAGAGAATGGCCCTCATATACAAATGTCCTTCAGTGCAAAAAAGCTTGGCCTTATATACACGTAACAAACACATTCTGTTTAAGAAAAAAAAAAAAGAAAATATCCCAGTGCTTCAAAAGTAGCAAAAACAAATAACCTTAAATTGACAAATATAATAAATTCCAAATAAAGACTTTTGGCAAGGCTGAAGTGGGGAAGCTCTATTTCATTTTTGGCACTATATTGAAATATGTTGGGTCAGGCTCACACCTGTAATCCCAACACTTTGGGAGGCTAAGGCAGGAGGAATGCTTAAAGCCAGAAGTTTAAAACTAGCCTGGGCAACAAAGCAAAACCCCATTTCTACCAAAAACAAATTTATTTTAATTAGCTGGGTGAGGTGGCACGCACCTGTAGTCCCAGCTACTTGGGAGGCTGAGGCAGGAGGATTGCTTGAGCCCAGGAGTTGGAGGCTGCAGTGAGCCATGATGGTGCCACTGCACTCCAGCTTGGGTAACAGAGCAAGACCTTGTCTCAAAAAAAAAAAAAAAAAAAGGACATGGTGAACTGCATAAAACAGAAAGACCAAATAATCGTGGCTGAAAACAGGAAAACAGAAAGACATTAGTTGTTAAAAAAAATATATGAAGTCTAGAGGCATCCAGTTCCAGGGTTCATTCCATGGCTCAGAAAAGCCAATGTTTAGGCTGGAATCTCATATTCTCTTGGTCTTTCCCTCACGCATGTCTGCTGAGCTTCAAGCTTTAGTATTACTTGCCTTCCAAGCAGGGGAGAAGATGACATAAGCAAGCCCTCTTGTGTGAATACTTATCTTTTAATAGAAAAAATCTTTCCTAGAAACCTTCCAGACAACTTCCTGTTGTCTCATTAACCAGATCTGTGTCTTGTGGCTATGCCTGGCTATGACAAACAAGTATCTGGTAAAGAAGGAATGGAATCACCATGAAGCCTAAGACCACATTACAATTCATTTCCAGGAACTAGGCACACAGCCACCCAACCAAAATCAGGGTTCTAATGGCCGGGAAGAAGTACAGTTGATATGGTTGATGGGCAGCCAAAAAATACTATCTGCCAAAGTCACTCAACAATTTTTACAGATAAGTTACGGTAGCTCCTCTTTGTCTGCGGAGGTTCCAAGACCTGCAGTTGATGCCTGAAACCATGGAGCATGCGAAACTCTAAGTACTGTTTACCATGTTTTTTCCTGTACGTGAATATCTCTGATAAAGTTTAATTTATAAATTAGGTACAGTAAGAAATTTAACAACAATAACTAATAATAAAATAGAGAACCAGACATAAATCCACACATTTACAGTCAATTTATTTTCCACAAAGGTCTTAAGAACATACAATGGGGAAAAAAAACACTCTTCAATAAATGATGCTAAGTTCCTATCTCTCACCAGATACAAAAATCAAATAAAAGTAGATTAACGATTTAAATCTAAGACCTGAGACTATGAAACCACTACAAGAATACACTGGGGAAACAACCCAGGATATTGGCCTGGGCAAAGATTTTTTGTGAAGACCTCAAAAGCACAGGCCATCAAAGCAAAACCAGAACAATTAGACTACATAAAGCAAAAATGCTTCTGTAAGCAAAGGAAACAATCAACAAAGTGAAAACACAACCCAGAATCTCCCACAGTATAGGAGAAAGTATCTGCAAACCATCCACCTGGCAAGCGATTAATAACCAGAATATATAATGAGCACAAACAACTCAATAAAAACAAAACACACACACAATCTGATTAAAAATTGGGCAAAAGATCTGAATAGACATTTCTCAAATGAAGACATACAAATGGCCAGTAGATATATGAAAAATGCTCAACATCACTAATTATCAGAGAAATGCAAATCAAAACCACAATGAGATATCATCTAACCCCAGTTAAAGTGGCTTTTACAAAAAGGGAATAAAAGATGCTGGCATGGGTGTGAAGAAAGGAGAACCCTTGTAAACTGTTGGTGGAAATGTAAGTTAGTATAGCCAACATGGAAAACTGTGTGGAGGTTCCTCAAAAAACCAGAAATAGAACTACCATATGTCCAGCAATTCCACTGCTGGGAATATATCCAAAAGAAAGGAAATCAGTATTATCAAAAAGATATGTGCATTATAAACAGCACACCCGTGTTTACTGCAGCACTATTCACAAAAGCCAAAATATGCAATCAACGTTAAGGGGACATCAACAGATGAAAGGACAAAGAAAATGTGGCATACATACACAATACAGTACTATCCAGCTGTAGAAAAGAATGAAATTCTGTCATTTGCAGCAACATGGACGGAACTGGAGGTCATTAAGTTAAGTGGAACAAGCCAAGCACAGAAAGACAAATATTATATGTTCTTACTTATACATTGGAGCTAAAAAAGTGAATCTCATGGAAATAGAGAAGAGACTGGCGGTTACCAGAGGCCAGGAAGGGTACAGGGCAGGAGGGATGCAGAGAGGTTGACTAATAAGTAAAAACGTAGCTTCATAGAAGAGATAAACCTTAGTGTCTGACAGATCACTGGGTGACTACAGTTTATGATAATCTACTGCATAGTTCAAAATAGCTAGAAGAAAACAATTTGAATGTTTCTAGCATAAAGACAAATATTGAAGGTGATAGATATCACAATTACGCTAATTTGATCTTTACAAATTATATGAATGTATTAAATTATCACATGTATCCTAGAAACATGTACATCTATTATGTATCAATAAAAATAAATAAATAAAAGAATTTGAGACAAGAAAAATACAAACCATTAAAATCATCATTTTCTGCCTGTTCTGTGATTGCATTTTCTCCTTGATTTGATAATGCAACTGTTCGTGATACCATTTCTGCATAAGATCATGGTTATTATTATTTTTTGGAAAGAAAAAAATAAAAACCATCATTAATTCAACAAGAAAAACTAATAATAAAGTAGAACAATTATAACAATATATCTACTGCAATAAAAGTTATGAAAAACAGAAAGAAGATGGTCTCTTTCTCTCTCTGAAAGTATCTCATCCCACTGCACTCACCCTGTTTCTTCTTGTCATCTGTCCATAACTAAAATCGTGATCTTGTGGTAACTGAGAAGGCAACAAAGTGACCAACGGGCGGGTAGCGTGTATACAGCATGGAGACACTGGACAAAGGGAGGTTTCATGCCCTGTGCGGATTTCAACACAAAACTCAGAATGCACTCATTTAAAGCATGCACTGGTTATTTCTGGAATTATCCATTATATATTTTCAGAAGATAGTTGACTCTGGGTAACTAAGAAAGCAAAACCATGGGTAAGGGTGGGGAGGGGCGCCTTACTGTATTTGGAGCTTATGTGATTGACTGAGTCATCACACTATTAATATTTATTGATCATTTACTATGTGCAAAGCTAGATGTAAAATGTTGAAGAAACAATAATAATCAAAAACAGACTTGGGAGGCCAAGGTGGGCAGATTACAAGGTCAGGAGTTCGAGACCAGTCTGGCCAATATAGTGAAACTCCATCTGTACTAAAAATACAAACATTAGCTGGGCGTGGTGGCAGGCGACTGTAGTCCCAGCTACTCAGGAGGCTGAGGCAGAAGAATCGCTGGAACCCCGGAGGCGGAGGTTGCAGTGAGCTGAGATCATGCCACTGCACTCCAGCCTGGGTGACACAGTAAGACTCCTTCTCAAAAAAAAAAAAAAAAGACATAGTTCTTATATACAGCCTAATATCACAAAAAAATATTAATCAAATAAAGAAACATATAACTCTGGCAAGATAGCTCTAGTGAACTTTGTTACCTTTTACAAAAATTAATTCCCCTTTCTCTCTAGGAGCTAGGCAAGTTGTTCAAGACCAAAAGAATCCTATCTTCTCCCTGGCCACAGTTATTGGTTCAGAAATGGATGAGTACATGACACAAGGAGGGCCAGTGACATGAACGGAGAGGACTGCTGGGCACTCTTGGTCCAGAAGCTCTCTCACTCCTCTAAGATTCTGGAAACAAGTACCCTCAAACTGTTGATGGCTTCCCATAATCAAGAGAGGACTCTGGCCAGACGATAAAATTGACAGTAGAGAAGACAAAGTGGAGAAAAGCACAAAATTCAATCTTTGGCAACATCACTCAAACCAATCAACCCTAAAGCCCATCTGGTTTCTGAACTCTCAAGACACAGGAAACAATAAAGTCACTATGCTTGTTTAAATCAATTTGACTTCAGTTTTCTGTTACTTGCAACAGCAGTCACTCTAAGCTGAAGAGCAATTCACAATACTAAAGGAGCTTAACAGATGAAGGTTTACTCAAGTTAGAGAAGGTAGCTCTTGAGTAAGCATTTCTTAAACTGAGATCAGAAGAATAATTAGGAAGGGAAGGAAGGGCACTCCAGGCAGCTGGACCAGCATCTGCAAAGGCCCCCAGGGTAGCGGGGAAAGAGGTGAGTACTAAAGAATGAAAAGCAGCAAGTGAAAAAGAAAAAGCAGCAAGTGACATGGGATGGAGAAGTGGGTAAGCGCTATACTCATCAGGGTCTCACAGGCTGTGCTAAGGAATTAGACTTCATCCAAAAAGTGCTGCAGGTTTTTGCAGAGAAGGTGGCATAAAAATTACTGTCTATAGTGTGGTGACATTAATTCACATATACCTAAGGAACATACCTGACCACCAGTACTATAATGAACATTTAATTTTCAAATAGCTTTCAAGACAACAGAAAAATTTCAGGAAACACTGTAACTTGACACA